CGGGCGCGCGCCGCGGCCGCGGAGGCGCCGCCGCCGGCGCCTGCAGCAGCGCCTGGTGCAGCAGCGGCAGGTGCGGCGCCACGGCCAGCTCCACGCTGCTGCGCTCGCCGCCGCACTCGTCCGCGAACTGCGAACTGATCGCGCCGTCCGCGCCGTCAGCGCCGTCGGCCCCGGCCGCCGCCCCGCCGGCGCCGCCGCGGCACTCACGGGACGGGGTTGTGGTGCAGCAGCGCCAGCAGCACGTGGCAGCCGTTGACGATGGCGGCCGCCCGCGCCGCCGGCGGCGCCGTGAACATGCCCTGCAGCAGGCGCCGCACCGTCTCCTCGCCCGCCAGCCGCTCCACCAGCGCCCAGCCCGTGCGCGCGCTGCAACGAGTCGTCTCGGATCTTTACGATTTAAAGCTCCGAGTGGCTCTCCGACGGTTACGGCCGGGCGTATAGCGTACCGTCACTTGCCATTATAAAAAAAAGGAATTCTCAACAGGTTGTGAGGGCAACCTATCAGAAAATCGAAAATTTTTTTGACCGAAATAACGTTTGTTCGAATTTTCATTACACCGAAAACCGAATTATAACGAAACGGCTATTCTCTCAGAATCTATCGAATGTTTACCGCAAAGACACGATTAGGTTCGGTTAAGTTATGTTTAAAAGAAAAAACATTTTCCTCACAAAATTACTTTCGAGGTTATGAAATTTCGACCAAACGTTATTTCTGGGAAATGCCGTTTCGGACTACTGATAGATGATGATAACCGTTGCGAGACATTGAGAAAGTCACATATTCACTTTCGTTAGCATTAAGTGTAAGGACATTCGCTTCGAGCCAGTCAGTTACGGAGTTAAAACCAAACCGGGCCTGTAAAAATACTTCATTACCATATCACGACTTGTATCATAGGCGTTAGATGCGTAACAATATTGCAATCGGTTAGACAAGAAATAGAATCGGTCCTATTACGCTTCCTCGATTCGTCAAAAACGTTTTAGATAAGAGCACAAACCGCGTGGTGCAGGCGTCGCCGGCGCAGCCATTGAGCACTAGGTCGCAGAGCAGCCCCGCGGCGTTGGCAGAGGCCACGGCGTCCATGCGCCGGCGCCGCTGCGCGCGCCACGTCTCCGCAGCCTCCGCAGCCTCTGCGGCCTCCGCTGCCTCAGCGGCCTCCGCTGCCTCCGCGGCCTCCGTGCTGCCGCCGTTGTCCGCCTCGTTGTTGTTGGCCGCGCTCTCGCCCGCCACGCCTGTGCGACGACGAACGCGAGTGACGCCCGTGCCAGGGCCGAAGCCCGGCCCCAGTCGGGTGGCCGCGTTACCCTTGTCGCCCTGCGGTGCCGCGACGCCGTCGTGCGTGTGGTTGCAGTTGAGCTTCTCGCCGCGCTCGCCCTTCTCGGGCCGCGAGGGGGAGGCCGGGGGCGCGGGAGAGGACGGCCGCGCGGGCGGCTCGGCCGGCTCGGCCGCGTACGTGCCGCAGATTATTTGAATCAGCGACTCCAGGAACTGGTGCTCTTCCAGCCACTGCAAAAGGGGGCCGAGCTGTGATTACGGCTATCACGTGACCGTCGCTTCGCGCGCGCGTCGCCTGCTAGCACGGAAAGCGGGCCGAACCTGCAGATGTATGTTTAAACGTGTTGCTCTGCCTCCTTTAAAACATCACACGAAAAGAGAGTGCCCTTAAAAGAGCCGTCTCAACAAACGCGCGTTTGGAAGATCCCGATCGACTCTTAAAATAAAATGTAAGTCCCTAGTAAACTCGTACGAAAACAGTAATTTAATAAACAAACAAGTACCGACACGATATATGACTAATAAAATGGGGAAATGAGTCACCATTGAATTTAATTGGCACGAGATTACGTACATGACACTATCCAGTAACATGTACTGCCTAGATATTGTATTGTATGATAATATTTTGCTGGTATCTTATGTAGTCCTCAATGATTTTGATTATGACAGGTACAGTTTTCAGGGGACCCATTTTATTTTTAGAACATGGATTAATTAAACTATGCTAGTCATCCGGCATCCGGTGCTTACAAATTAAAAATAATAATTAGTAGCAAATAGAGTTACCTCCATAACAATCTTATTGAAGAGGTCATCGAGGCGGATGAAATATTTGAAAGTGTCAGCAATGGCAGAGGTGGCGAGGTGGCGTAGCAAGTTGGGTAGGAAGTCACGCCGCGATTTGAAGAAATCCAGCACGCGCAGGCACACAATGTGGTATAGGTACCAATCCTTAAATGCATATCATGTACTTTTCGGTACTCGCGTCATTCTCTTATGATTAAATGTTAGTAACAATATGTTATACTACCATGGTATCTCCCAACACTACGTAGTTCCTAAACTTATACAGTACATACACAATTTAAATATTTATGTATTTTTCAATAAAAAGATTTATGTTGCGCATTTTTTAATACTTTTTCAAAGAATTTGCATTTATTTATTAGCAAGCGCTCAGTTCCCTTGTTATTCAGAAGTTTTATACAAGACACTTCACTTACTCAAAAACAACATTTTGTTGTATCGTGTTCTTAGATTTTCGCGATTGTTACACATAGGAAATGAAAACTATTTTTCCGGATTTAAATCGCGTATATTTACAGGTGACATGGTCACGGTTGACTGAGGTGGTACAGTCTTCAACCAGTTATATCTAGTATTGACGCAAACCACCTTATTTTTCCACTATAGGTACAATAGTTATTAATTAAATACCTTATTTTTAATGCGATGGGCTCCCCGGTATCTCCCGTTGTTGCCGATATTTTCATGGAAGACTTCGAGGAGCAAGTTTTACCCATGGCCCCAGCTAGGCCGAAGATTTTCAAACGGTACGTTGATGATACTTTCACAATATTACCTAAAGATAGCATACCCTCTTTCTTGGACCATCTTAATTCTTTTAGTACTAAGATCCAATTTACTATGGAACAAGAGAATTGTGGTACTTTAGCTTTCTTAGATGTTTTAATTAAAAGAAATTCAATAAAAATTTAACTGCCTCAGTGGCTGAACGGTTACCATACCGGACTGCCACGCAGAGGTCCCCGGGTTCGATTCCCAGGCCGGGAGAAATATTTGTATGGCCTGCATTTGTTTCTCTCGTGAGTTTGGGTGTGATTTGTGGTTGTCTATGTGTGTGTCCATGGCACCCGCGACACAGGGTTTCCCTAGTGCGGGGCTATGTTGAGTGTGTGAGTGTGTGCGTTATTATTAAAAAAAAAAAAAAAAAAAAAAAATCCTAATAACACCTTAGGCCATACTGTATTTCGAAAGAAAACTGATGCAGATAGGTATCTCAATGGTAATTCCCATCACCATCTTAGCCAGGTAGCTACTGTGGGCAAATCTTTGTTTCAGAGCGCACATGGTGTCTGCGACAGTAATCATCTGGCAGGGGAACTTCAGCATATAAAGCAAGTCCTACATGCGAATAAGTTGAAGATTCCACGCCAATGCCGCAGGCCCCGTGTGAAACCACCAACAGTCGAGCGAAGACCTGCCATCTAACCTTACATGAGAGGTGTTACAGACAAGATCGGAAGAGTCCTCAGGCGTGCATCTATCAAGACCTATTTCAAGACCCTGAGGAAGATTTCTCAGTTCCTGAGACCCGTTAAATGTAACATCCTCTTACAGGATGTTTACAAGTTTGACTGTGAGTGCGGTCTCTCTTATATTGGACAAACAAAGCGAAGTATTGTACCCGCGTCAAAAAACATATAGCTGATGTCAAACACCGTCGCGTAAACAAGTCTGCCGTCTGCGAGCACGTCATGGATAAACCTACACATTCAATGAAGTTTGACAAACCCCAGGTCCTTGCAAAAGAAGTCCGTTATCTACCCAGAATGCTGCGAGAGGCCATTGAAATTAAAAGACATCCTAATTTCAACAGGGAAGATGGTTTTTCCGTACCACCAGTTTGGGATCCAGTATTTCCTCTAATGAAAAATCCCAAACAGACATAAAACTGCAGTACTAATTAATATGTTTTTTTCTGAGTGTTCGATCTTCGTATTAACAATTATAACAAACTAGTGGAATGATTTCACAAAAAATAATTGAATATCAATTCAATAAAAATTTAAAATAATATCTTTAGTTTATTATAATTTCTATTATTAATTAGTAATAAATTGAACTTAATAAAAATTCATTCAATAAAATAATTTGTAAAACTTAATGTAGCGTAAATTGGAATGTTTTCTTTGTAAAATAAAAAATAAGGTATTTAATTAATAACTATTGTAACTATAGTGAAAAAATAGGGTGCTTTGCCTCAATATTAGGCATAACTGGTTGAAGACTGTACGACCTCAGTCAACCGTGACCATGAGACCTATACAGGGCCCAAAACATTGGTTTGTTTGAAAAAACATAAAATCCGGAAAAAAGTTTCATTTCCAACATTTTGTTGTTTTGGGTAAGATTAAACCATTTTTGAGTAAATATTATTTGTTTTATCAATATTATTATACCTGCTTTGGACTCCGTTCCAGCAGCATTTCAACAGTTTTACTGAAATATGAAGCGAGGAGCGGATTGAGTGGGGGCTCTCTGTTAATGAAATCACAGAGTCTGTTCATCTGCACAGTGTCCAATGATAACCGATCGCTCAGCATAGACAATTGGCTGGTGAGCACCTCACACGCAATGCTAGCATGCCGGTACTGAGACGCAAGCTCCACATTCTTGGAAGGCTCCTCTGTGATCAATGTTATCAGTTCAGCTAGAATTTCTGGTTTTGTCAAGCTGCAAAAATATGATTGTATTTAAGTATCAGTATTGAGATATTTTATTTAAAAATATTGCATTAAAATTAATGAGTGTGAAGTATTCACAGTTTATGCTTGATTCTAAAAATCAAAATGTCTATCTATAACTGTCAACTTTACTGTGACCAGGTGAGTTGAACTATGTAAAATGTTTGCCCTATCCCCAATCAACTATGCAAAATAACTGCATATTGGACAGTGGGTTATAACAAGCAGCTTTCCAATATCTATGGTTAGATCAATATTGTTTAGTTTTATCAAGATTCATTGGCATTTTAGGTAGTTGTTGATTTGAATTACATCATTGGAGGCGTTACATTTTTTCTGCTAGATATTCACCACAATTGTATCCCATAAGCTCAGATCAGTACTATCATAGAGATGCACACAGGTACATATCGATTAAATAATTGAATGAATCAATTTGTTCTATTGAGTCATATTACTGTTTTCTTTACATAACCTATATAAGCATATTTAAAATTTCAATTTAAATCCTCCTTCAAATCCTTACACTTAGATAGTCGTTCAATTGCTATTGAAATGTTCGATGTAATGATCGATTATTCAACTTTAGTTGATTGAACCGAATGTTTTTTTCGAACAGCACTATGCACCATAGGCAAGTCATAGAAGTATAGACGAATAATAACCTCACTTTTGGACTACCATTTTTCAAATATGATTTTACGATGCTATTCAAATGAATATTGTTGGAAAAAGTGATGATATATCAAGTTGAAACCTTCGAAATATTCGTGAGTGTTACTTATTCAATTTATTGAGTGATTGCTTTAGAATTTTAACCAAACAGATTTGTTTACTTTTTGTTCAAAATGGATTGGAACAGACTATAGAGGCAGTTAGGGTAGTGAGGACAGTCAGTCTGTTCCTCTAAGCAATGTTTTCTCTGTATTTCAGTATCCTGGGTGGTCTTATGAACAACACTGTTCTATATTTATGCTATTTTATTTTGATAGTTAATTCATGTTGTTTAAAGACAAAAACATGAAGCTGTTGAACAAATTTACAAAATCATCGATGCATAAACAGCCAATGAATCTTTTCAGTCGAACTTAAAAGAAAATGAAGATCACAACTTTTGAGGTGTTGCTCAAGTGTTTTCTGTACAACGAATTTTGTAGAACGTAGCGGGCAGTACAAATATACTCACAACTGTATTAAGGCTTTGTTGTCGGCCTTGCACTCCTGTAGGATGTCGTCGGCCTCCAGAACTTGCGTCAGAGACACATTCTGCAATAAACACGTACAACATTTAAATTAGCGCGTCTAACTCCACCAAGTTCCACATATCGTTATAAACATATCTCAACTACAAATTACGACCTCTAGGGCTTCTTATAGTCTCTCAATAAGAGTAAATAACGAGAAATATCCACTAAAGTCGCGAGTCAGCCCCTCATAACCATCAATTTTTCTACAAAATACACACCTCTTCCTTGAGAAGAAAATTTAATTCTCTGACTGCAATGTAATTTCCGCTCCAAAACATAATTAAAATTAATAAGTACAATACGTTGAATTATTCTAAATCCATAGAAAAAGTATTATTTTTACAAATTTCAGCGTTCTTCGATAAAAATGCAACGAACGATCGGTTTTCTTTTTGACAGATACATGCGGTGTTGCCAATTTTATATACAGGCATCAAAGTATCTATCTATTGTAAATAAGTTTTTTAGGGCTATGTTCTCATGGAGACAGAAATGGGCAGTGGGTTAAAACCCAAAATAACCCGCCCGGATTTTAATCGGGTTTTTACACAAACTGCTCGGATTCAATCTATTTTTACTCGAAATCAAATTAAACAGCAATATTACAAATAAACGATTATTTAGGTAAATTTGAATGTAAAATTACGACAATTACACATATTTAATGTAATGGTTTTTTTATTGTATGCACTAAAGTGCTGCATAAAATTCTATGTTATGCAGCCTACACCATAAATAGGAACATTAAGAAATGGAAAAAACTTTTTTGTTTGAAAACTAGACAAAACTTAATTATTAAATATTGTACATTTTTTAAATGGACTTATGCTTGATTACTACCTAGCCCTGGAACTATGGTAAACGGGTGCGGGTGGAATAAGCTGGTGGAGCTGCACTCTCACCAAAGTGTAATCTGTAATATAATAAATATAACAGTTTACTTTTCACAGGTAATCATTTAGTTTTTATCTTATTGCATCAAAATTACAAGATCACTAACAACCTTGCAGGACTATACAATTACGGACATCATTTAAACAACAACTTGTTCCATGACTTTTCACAAAACCGTGCCGTTAAATAAAAACAAACTATTAACTAGCCGATTTTTAAAAATTGATATTAGCAGTTAAATTGGAATTTGCACTTGATAACAGTTTAAGTTTACAGTTTGTGCAGTGCATCCACAACACCACAAGTCCTAGAGGTATAAATTTGTATATTTTTATTTTTGTACGAAAGTAAAATCTGATGAATTATTAAAAAAAAATCATGGAACCAAAGTTGTTTTGATGTTTGTAATATGTTATTATTACCTACGTTGTCCTTCGTGGTTCTTAGTAATAATAACTTACAAATTAACCTGTATTAAATACAATTAAGCGAAGTATATAAAACTACAAATAAAAATAAAAATATTCGAGCTAATATATATATTTTTTTTTTTTTTTTTATTAATGGTAAACTAGAAGTATATACATTTATATTTCTAAATTAAACAACGAAGTAAGCTAAATAAGTTTACACTTGTAGAAATAAAGTAACTTAAATAAGTAAGCACTCTAATAAAAAAATATATAGAAATAGAATTTTACAATATAACTTTATAAAAAGACTATCCTAAGAAATAAAAAAGACTTTCTTAAGAAATAAAAAAGAAGTCGCTGAGTAATTTTCTCGCTGTGACAATTTTGGTATTGAAGATATCAATATCTATTTTATTAAGTAGGTTATTGATGTTGTTGCAAGCTCGCAGCAGAAACGAATTCTTTCTGTAATTAGTTGAAGCTATAGGTATGTCAAATACTTTGTTAACCCTGTAATTACGTGTGGGAGTCAAAAAGTTGAGTTTGTATAGTAATTCGAGACAATCAATTATAATTTGAGAAATTTTTAGAATATATGCGCAATCGGATATTTGACGACGCATGTAGAGGGGAAGAATGTGATGAATTTTACAAATGTGCAAGTAATCATTATTATGATATTGTCGCTTAGTTCGGAAACATAAAAAACGAATGAATCTTTCTTGAATACGTTCTATACGCGAAATGTACACCTCATATTGCGGGTTCCAGATCTGTGACGCGTATTCCAGAATACTGCGAACAAACGTACAATACAAGATTTTAACTGTCTTAATATCCCGAAACTCACTAGACCGACGCATTATAAACCCCAGCGCACGTGATGTATTAGTAGCCCTGAAAACATTGTCGTACATGTTAAGAGTATACAAAATAATAAACTAACATACTTATATGTAGAGTCAATAAAGTAATTCAAGTTAAATATTGATAAACAAATATACTTATGATAATTACGTGACTCGACTGAACTAACCGAATAACTTAGCAGGTATAATCCCGTCGTTAAATTTTACACAGATACGATGATAATTTTGATATAAAAAAACTTTTTTAAACGATAAATAAGCTCAATATCCACCTCACAGTCTTGTGGATTCTTACTTATGTACTGGACTGGATAATAATAAAATTAGCATAAACAGAAGTAGTAGAGCTTCTTGTGAAAGAGTTCGTTCAGGGAAGTACTGTATTTATGGCGCCAAGCAGTAATATCAGCATTAGTGTGTTCCGGTTATGAAAGGTGAGGGTGCTGGTGAAATTCCAGGCACGTGGGACTTGTCAACTTATCGGGGTAAACAGAACTCTACTCAATGCTCAAGTCAGGACTTGAGTATGATTTAAAGCACTGAAAATCATACTCCAGTCCTTGCCATTAGGGTCGTATTTCCAGTGCTTGAAATCATACTCAAGTCTGCTCAAGTCCTGACTTGAGTTACCCTGGAATACGACCCTCTAGAATTCTACTCAATGCTCAAGTCAGGATTGCAATTGAAACACGAGCACTGGAAATACGACCCTGCCATTAGGGTGCAATCCTAGTGCAATCCTGACTTGAGCATTGTGTAGAGTTCTGGAATACGACCCTAAGATACTGAACGAAAATGATGGACATGGCGCCAATAAAAAGATTTTATTACGATTCTTATTTTTCGCTGTTGTCCAATCATTACAATTTGCCATTTGCTTTTTTTTTATTTCACGCTAAATAAAACTTCAAAAGGTATTACTAAACTTAAAACACTTATTTTGCAACAGAAGTCGTCATGTTCCTGCAGCTTGGTATTGATTGCCTCTCCAGATCGCGACTGCGTCTTTTTAGAGTCGAGGGCATAATTGCTATTCACAACTGGCCGATCGAAACTTTTGATTTTTCTAATCGGAACAATAGTTGATTTAACCTTTTTTCCATCCTCTAAGGATTTATCTCACAAATCAGAAGGATATATTTAGTAGGAATCAGGTTCATCTTTTCGCTCTACCTAGACTTTTACTTTTTTGGACTACCCGGTCGAATCAAGATCACTCTGGTCGGTTGTGGAATAGTAAATCCGTATCACAATCAAATCGGAATCGATCCGATCGGGTAGCCCACCCGTAATGTTATATATACTATACGCCTCGACTCTGACAAGAAGCAGGTTTCCGATCGGGAGAGGCAATCAAAATCAAGCTGCACATCCGTATAGAGAACGCAGGCGGAGACTGAAAAACAGCACTATGCTGAGGCTTCGTCCTTTTCATCACTCATAGTCATAGCTCCTAATTTATTAGTAGGTGCATAATATCGTGTGATGTTCTAGGTATAGTCTTATTTTATTTTATTTAACACCAAATGAGCCTTCGAATTATATGTATCTAATATTTTTTGAGATTATTTGTGAAATATCTAGTTAGTTAATATCGAACACACAGAAATTGTATAGTATAGTAATGTTCTTATATTGTAATTTATAGAGCGCTCCCGCCGCCGCTTGCTGCATCTTCCTTTTCCTGTTTTGTTTAAATGTAAATGTTGTATATATTGCATTGCTTATTTTAATGCATCGCCCAGTCCGACGGGGCGTGAGTAACTCTAAATTGGGCTTGATTTACAAACGAATGCCCGCGATGTCGTTACTCGTCGTTGTCGTTAAGTATTATGTAATTATTGTAATATTATATTTACACTGCATGTTTCATGGAGAAGAAAGTAAACTAAGCTTATTAAAAATACATTTTTTTACTTTCCAACATGTAATTTATAACATTTATTATTTCGCCCGCAATAACTGCATGGCGAACGCCTCGGCTTCCAGCACTGAAAGCGAACCTGAAAGGTCCTGGATCTTCTTGACTTTGCGCGGTATAACGCTGTCCTGTGGAATGCCTTTGTTCTCCAATAGTTTTCGTTTCGGCGGTCTGAAAAAGAATATTTAAGTGCGTATTCAAAGGGAAGTTAAACTTGGACAGAAAATATAAAACCCCCCCCTTCTTCCTCACCTATGGTATTTCTGGTCCTCGGATTCATCTCCTGTCTCATCATTATCAGATATCACTTGGTCTATATCACTATCACTCTTATACTCATTACTGATTGCCTTTTTATTGTATACGTTGTCAGGGTCTGGCAGCCAGGACAGATCAGGTCCATCAGATTCTGATTGTGATCCAAATTCGTCCTTCTCTCCTTCCTCTTTCCTTTTATTTTTCAGCTTACGTTTCTGCTCCCTGTGCTTTTCTTTTACCTTCTCTCTGAACCTGATCTTGTCAAACTTATCTTCTTCTCGTAATACTTCCTTTGCCTTTTCTATGTCTACTCCACCAACATCTTCATTCATAAATAATTTAGCAGCTTGTGATTTCACATCTTTCTTTTCATCCTCAATAGTTTCACCATCTTCAGTGAACTTTACTTTTGTGTTCACTTTGATCTTCTTTTTAAGTATTTTCTTAGCAACAGCTGCTTTTGTTAAAGGCTTTGTATTTTTTTTGGAAATAATCTGCTTTTCTTCCATATATTCATCGACAACCAAATTATTATCAGTCTTTTTAACTTTTAAGAAATCATCTTCATCGCTATAATCACTATTGTGGAAGTTTAAGTTGGGTATTTCCTTTCTCTTGCTCTTCTTTATTACCTTCTCTGCTGAGATACATCGCACTTCTTTTAGCTCTTTGTCATCTTCTTCAGCAGCATTTTGGCCACAACTCTCAACATCATCAGCTTTTGCGTTCAGTTTGTCAATGACTACATTAGTTTCAACTTTGTCTTCTTGTGGCTTTATGATATTGTTTTGGATTTTATTCTGATGTTTGTACATAAATTTAATTCTTGGAGGAATAATCAATCCAAGAGATTTAGCATAGGCATCTGTATCAAGCATTTGACAACTGAATATGTCCTTGTTCTTCATCAGAGATACAGATTTCACATAGCTGACAAAGGCCCGCTGAGCAGATTGTTTTAATTCAATATTATCTGAAAGCAACCCTTCAATTTTTCTTTGTGGAGTGACTATTTTGGAAGGATCTACTAAAATTTTGTTAATAGGAATTTTTCTCCTTTTTAAATCTTCAATAATTTTCTCCTCATGAGGCAACAACATTAGCAGTCCCTCTCCCTTGCCAAGCACTCCTCTTGCTGTGCGACCAGCCCTGTGTATATAAGTATCCACATCTTCTGGACAATCAACTTGGATCACCCAGTTAACTCTAGGGAAGTCCAAGCCCCGTGATGCCAAATCAGTAGCAAATAGTACTACATTTGATTTTCTGCAAAACTCATTATAAATCTTTTCCCTTCTCTCCTGATGCAAAGTTCCATACAAAGCAAGTAGACTTACACCTGGTCTCAACTTGCAGAACAATTCATATGTGTACTTGACTTGCTTGCATGTTGCCATGAAAACCAAAACTTTTTGTTTTAAATGATTTCTAATAAATGACCATAGTATACCTAATTTCTCATCAATTTCACACACAATATAGCTCTGCTGGAGCGACTCAGGTGTCACAGTCTCTGCTTGCTCATGTGGGGCAACATAGGTAGGGAAAGAAAGACTGAGTCGAGCTAAATCTTTCACTGACTTGGTCTGAGTAGCAGAAAACAAGAGAGTCTGTCTTTCAGGAGGCAAGTTTTCAATAACAGCATTCATTGTAGCTTCAAAACCCATGTCTAGGCATCTATCAGCTTCATCCAAAACAAGAATTTGAAGGTTGTTGCAATGAAACAATGGGTTTTCATCCATGTGTTGCAGCAATCTACCTGGTGTGCAAATGAGTATATTAATTTGATCCATTCTTTTCTTCTCAAATTTCAGGTTTTGGCCACCTATAATAAGCCCAGCAGAAAAATCGTGGAGATATCCAACTTTTCTGAGAGTTTCATATATCTGGTAAGCCAGCTCACGAGTTGGTGATATTACTAAAGCACCTACTCCATCAAACCTGGTCCATTTAGTGCAGAACAATTTCTCTAATACCGGTATGAGAAAGGCCAGCGTCTTTCCTGAGCCTGTTTTTGCTGCTCCAAGGATGTCCTTTCCTTGCAATGCGTAACCAATTGCCTGTCTCTGGATTTCAGTTGGTGTGGTGTAATTACTTTCTTTTAGTCCTTTCAGTGTCTTTTGTGATAGCGGGAAATCTTTAAACGACTTAACTTCATCAGGAACGATCTGAAAATGTTATAAATTACCGCATAAAGCACAGAGATTGGGAATAAAGTTGCAAAGGTTGTTTTAGATACCTTGTCGTATTGTGCTCGCAAATACTGTATAGCCGCATCTTCTTCTGTACTTTTTTTCTTTCTTGATTTGAAGATCTGAACTTTTTTACCTTGCCTTTGTTTTTTCTGTAAAGTACCATCTCGTTTCATGTTGTTTTTTTTCGCACTTTCGTCGCATATAAGCAATATTATAACTTTTATTTGGGTAGGCCTTATGTGTTCATGGATAGCAAACCCACAGAGCGAACCGAACACTATTTATAACCTTTAAATTAAAACAAGTGCGTCAGTCAATGGTCAAGGCACACTTTTGATTAGAACACATGCCACAGACTACATAGTGAACTACGTACATACACATGACACATGTCATCAGTGTTGCCACTTTGCCAAGGGCTTTGACATTCCCTAAGTCGAAAATTGGGCATTCTGAAAAGAAGGCAAGAAGTAAAATACAATAGTAAACAAATTTATTTTGTTAAGCCGGGCATTCATTAGCCAGCTGTAACTGTAGCGTGTAGATACAGTAACGAGATCCTAGTGTATGGCTTGAAACATTCTTCAATTAGACGGTTCACTGCGAACCGCAAGCGCACGTGCACACTATGATTTTTGGTTACATAACATGCAACGGTTACAGTTACAGCTCGCTAGTGAGTGCCCGTACCCGGCTTTATCAAACAAACGTGAAAAATATTTATAAAACAAATAGAATCATATAATTTGGAACAATATTGCCAAGGTAATAAGTAGATTTGTTTGTTGTGCCCCTATGCTTTCAACATCATCATAATTTCGTCAAAGACGTCCACTGCTGGACATAGGGCTCCCCTAGGGGTCACCACAACGGCCCTATTATTTAAATTAAATTTAGTCAATTGCTCTTTCGCCATTATACTTTAATTACATTAAAACATTAACATTAATAAAATTAGTCTTCTAACAAACTGTTAGTTAGAGCATGGATATGCAATCTTTGACATACTGGCCGGTGTGACGTTGAGAGTTATTCTTTTTCAAATTTAAATTAACTTTGTTACCTCGTAGAACTCTCTTCATGTCAAGTTGTGTTTTATTCACGTTATTTTAATAAAAACCTTTAATTAAAATATTTAAATCAGTTTTCTCATTTATTGAAAGAGCCGGAGAAGCTCTATCAGGTTATGGGAACCAGCAGCTACTAAATATTGAGCGAACAGATTTAGTACAAAGAGTGTACGAACGTGATTTTGTGATAAGAGAGATTAATGGTGAGATGAACCAAATTCCTATAATACTCTAATTAGAGAAATGAGTACTATGTCGGGGTCTGAACTTCCTGGGATTGAGAAGTTACAAGGAAGTAGCAACTTTGACAGTTGGAAGTTTGATATTGAGTGCATATTAGTCCATGATGATCTATGTCAATATGTTGAGAGTCCGCCCGCTGCTGATGATCCAATTGCCAAGCGAGGTGATCAAAAAGCACGTACAAAAATTTGCCTACTTATTGAGAGTCCTTATAATAATAATTCATTTATTCGCTTCAAATAAGGTACGGTACATTATACATGTCGATGGTAAAAATTGAATCAGTACTTAAACCTATTCGGCCTTCTTAAATAAAAGCATGCAAATACAATAATCAAATAATACACTGATAAATTAAGACTAAATGTAAAAATAATAATTAGACAAGAAGTTGATAAATTAAAGTTCATTGATTTAATACGAGATGTCATAATCGTGTATGTCATAATTTAAAGTAAATAATAATAATTGTAAATAAAAAATAGTAGTAATGAAAAATTTATGCATCAATTAATTAGTTCTTATATTTTATAAATTCGTAGAATAAAATGATCAAAGAGCCACCTACGCAATTCCTTTTTGAAACTAGTCTATGGAAAAAGCATATAGCGATCTGGGTATAAGATTAAAAAAAATTCCACATTATTTTGGAAACGTTTTGTTTTGGGTATTCTACCAAGTTTCACTTTATTGGGGTTCCTTAGGCAGTTACGCCCTTCGCTGTTAGGAATTTTGATAGATTTCGTCTCATAAATATACCAACTTCGAGTATGTACAGGCATGGGAGGGGGCAATACTCTTAACGTTTTGGAGTGCGGACGACGTGCAACATACGGCGCTACGTTGCAGATGTACCTTGTAAGGTACATGTATGCAAAGCAACAACGATGTATGAGACGTGGAAGAGTCTGAAAGCAGCATATGAGGACAAAGGCATTAACAACAGATGTAGGTTGCTATCGAGCCTGGTGGGCCTAAAGTTTAATATGTTCAATTCGATAATCGAGTATGTAACAGAGCTAATGAGAGTAGCCAATCAACTGTCAAGACTTGTGAAAGAAATTGATGATGAATTGTTAGCGACATTGATGCTACAGGGATTACTAGAGGAGTATATGCCTATGAGGTTGGCATTAGAGAATACTAACATAGCATTAAGCACTGATTATATAAATACAAAACTATTTCAATTAGATGAGAGCAAAGTTTGCGCAGGACCGAGCACTCCAGGGCAGAGTTCGGCACTCACTACAGTGAAAAAGTATAGAAAACCTGTTCAGAGGAACAAACAAAAGAAGATAGTGAATTGTTTCATATGTGAGGGACCAAATAAAGCCTATGACTGCCCGCAGAACCCACGTCATGTATTGACATCTTGGATTGCCAAGACGAGTCATATGGCAACGGAACTGACTTCTGTTCAAGAAAAGAACAATGAATTGAATGATTCCAGAGCATCAACACATATGAGCTACGGGAGAGATTGGATGGATAATTTTATGAAAGTAGGAAGGAAGGTAGAAGTATATTGCGCAAATGGAGGTAAAGGTATTATTATTATTATTTAAACACTTTATTGTACCACAAAGTAACTTACAAATTTTCAAAAACAATTTAAATATTTGTGTACTACGAGCTTATCCCATAAAGAGATTTCTTCCAACTAACATTTGAAAATCTGAGAGGAAAGTTGGTTTTTGGGGTGGCACTAAAAATAGATAAGTAAAGAAATGAAATATACTATACTCAATAAATACACATTCTGGATCAAAAAAGAACCAATTGGGTTCGAAAAGTAAGGAAACTGTTTTTGTTGGCTATTGCGAAGAATCGAAAGGATTTAGATTGATTGATCCTAAAACGAGAGAACTTCATTGAGCACGCACGTGATGTTATTTTTTTCGAAAACCAAATGTATCACAACGTCACAAAATCAAAAGAGAAAATCGTACCAGTAACCATTACTTTAGGGAATGATGATACGCATTACGAACCGTTACAAAACAGAGAAAGTATTCAGCGAGATCAGAAAAATTATGAAGAGTATCTTCAATCAAGTGATAGAGATCATGTTGATGAAGTTACTGAAAGAGTAGACGACGAAGAAGAACAATGGTTGTCATCTGAAGAGGGAACATAAGATTCGAACACATCTGAACCTGTAGTGGTAGAACGGAGATAACCACAGAGAAGAAAACCCACTCAATTTCCTGACTTTATCACCTACCAAGCAGTATCTGAAACAGATGCTCCTACGACAGTGCAAGAGGCATTGTCACGAAGGGATGCAAAGCAATGGTGAGAGGCAATTCAGGAGGAACTGGATTCTTTACACAAAAATAAAACGTGGGTTTTAGTAAAGCCTGAGGAAGCAACCAACATTGTTGATTCGAAATAGATATTTCGAATAAAAAAGGAAGCGGGGAATAAAACCTAACGGGTAACGGGTAAGACTCGTTTGGTTGCACGAGGCTTTAGCCAAAGAAGAGACATTGATTACAACAAGGCGTTTGTTCCTGTTGTGAGACATAGCTCGTTAAGAATGTTGATAGCTTTGGCGGCCAGCCTATGCATGGATATGGATCGCAGCTAAAAGGATCTTGAGATACTTAAAGGGTACCAAGGGCATGGGACTTGTATACTCTAAAGACGTGTCTTGTAGAAATATTCAAGATTTTGCAGACGCTGATTACGCTGGAAATATAATAGACAGGAGGTCATACTCCGGCAACGTGTTTAAGATGGCAAATGGAGCCGTCTCTTGGCAGAGCACCAAGCAAAGATGATGTACAGCCTTATCGACAGCTGAAGCCGAGTACATCAGCTTATCAGAAGCTACAAAAGAAGCCATATTTCTACAGCGATTTTGAATTAAATCACCGTTGTTGAGTTGCCTATCACGATACATATAGATATAGATCAATCTGCTATGGCAGTAGCCCTAAATCCGGTGCAACATCAGCAAACAAAACATGTTGATGTTCGCTATCATTTTATTAGAGAAGCATTAGAAAGGGATACTATAAAGCTCAAGTATTTAGAAACCAAGTGCATGGTTGCTGATGCTTTAACGAAAGCGGTGTTAAAGGGCAAGTATGAGTTTTGCCGTTGAGAAATGGGTGTGTACTGAGTGTTCATGACTGACAAGGTTTTTTGATAGTATAAGGAAAGCCAGATGTAAATAATTGAGGAGTGACAGAGCATAGATGTCAATCTTTTACATACTGGCCGGTGTGACATTGAGAATTATTCTTTTTCAAATTTAAATTTATTTTGTTACCTCGTAGAACTCTTTTCATGTCAAGTTGTGTTTTATTCACGTTATATATAATTTAATAAAAACTAACGTCGGTTTGTTTGAAAAAACAAATATACGCGATTTAAATTCGGAAAAATAGTTTCATTTCCTATTAATAAAAACTTTTATATTATTAATATTTTATTAAAATCAATTTTATCATTTATTGATAGAGCCGGAGGAGCTCTATCACAACGAGTACCTGACAGGACAGCATTTTTTCTTGAAATTTGAATAAAATGACACAATTCTACAAATGTCAAATTCGTCTCTTTGCTCACCGTAGATTGATTGTAAGGTCGGTCTATTGACTGAGATTTGAACTTCACTACGCGGACGCTCGTAACCCGTATGCCTTTTTTGTGTATAAGATCATTGCATCTAATAGTCTGTGGTTCATTGCCTTTTGCGTACCGCATCAACAGCACGCCAAGCCTAAAGTTTTGTTGTTAAAAATATTACTTTATATAATTACAGATTTGTGTAGAAAATCTACTTGGGAAGTAAATGTAATCAATAAAAATTTTTTTTTTCAAGAATTGGCAACGTTCTTAAAAGTTACAAAAATTGACATAAAAAAGTTACCTAAATAATACACAAGAAGATCAATAGTATCAAAAAACATAAGAAATTGATCCTGTGTTATGAACGTAGTTCATAAGTAGTCTATGGTGTTATGTATGAAACTAACCATCTATCTGGCACCACTGCACGTCACAATCCACCATCTTTAGGGTCGTATTCCAGGACACTACTCAATGTTCAAGTCAGGATTTGAGCAGACTTGAGTATGATTTCAAGCACTGGAAATACGACCCTAATGGCAAGGACTTGAGTATGACTTTCAGTGCTCACTTCAATACTCAAATCAGGATTTGATTTAAAACACTAGAAATCATACTTAATTTATTGCCATTAGGGTCGTATTTTCAGTGCTTGAAATCATACTCAATTCCTGACTTGAGCATTGAGTAGAGTTCTGAAATACGACTCTATTTTGTTACTTTCGCCCATAGAGGATAGAAAAAAAATTATTTCACCACAGAGAGAAAAACTGAAGAAAAAGTTGATCGACTCGATAGGTTGAAATAGAGCGTTATGATTTATGCGATCTTTTTTGCCGAATCGATTTTTGCGGAGGTGGTTCTGGCATTGCTGCAACACTGGCTTGCTGAACTGAACGACGCCTATAATATCATTCGCTTCTATTTCCGACATACATAAACAGTCGAGGCCTTTCCGTGGAGGGACGTCTTTTTTGCTTGGAATATTTTGCTTGTCATCGGACGTTAAAATTATTTATTTTGTTAATTTTCTAAATTTCAATTAGATTCTAAGCGTAGTTCGCCAAAGAATAGGTAAGTGGTTGTTATTTATTTTCTGCGTACGACCAAAAAGGAAACCATCTACAGCTGATCGATCACAAACAACAGATTGGGAGTGGGCTTATACCCACCTTGAGCTAGTCTTTCTTTGTTTCGTAGTGCGTAGAAGGATAATCTCAATGATTTCCTTGTTGCGTGATAGATAAAAGAACTATTAGATATTTAGAAAGTTGATAAGTATTTTTTTTCTTGCCATAATATCAAGTCATGGGCTTTCATAACTTCAAAATTTTTTTATAATAAGTAACATAATAGCCATTTGCGACTAATTCGTCACCGCAATTTGTTACATCAAAAGTTGCAAAAATAAGAACTTACTGAGCTCATTCACCCTCCTTACTTTAAAAAAAAATATCTATAAATCATAAAAGTACCTACCAAATTCTTAAAATTGTCGTTATTATGTTATACATAATTTACTCATAGTAGTAGTCGCAAAAATGCAAGAACACATTATTAAAAAAATGGAAATTTCCGTTCCTTAAAAAAAATCGAAATCTCCATTCCATTTCATCGAGTTGCCATCCAGAAACGAAACCCGTCGTTAACAAACTCCATAGGCCGCCACTATTACAAAAAATTAAAGCTCAAGTCAAAATGAACAGGAAGGAAATTGTAGATTTTTATTGGTGTAGGTTTTGGCTTGTTTTATATCACGCTTTATCCAAATAGCACCAACATTTTTGAGGTTTGCTATGAAGATACATAATTTATATGTAATATTCTAACAATAAAATAATTATGAATAACAATACTGCAGGAGGGAGAGAGAGAACATGCATACCTATTATACTTAAAGTTGTCTTTACATAACTCCTACTTAAATAGCCTTCTAGGTATTGATTGTTGATTATTATTGATGTTTTAGATTCAATTATCAGAAACCAGAGGGCTATGTTCTATTTATTCTCGAGTCCTGTTTTTCAAGCTGGGGTACATCCTTCATTTCAGAACAAACCGATTATCATCAATTTCATAAAGCTAAACTTCAAAGTTGGATATGATGTACAATTTTCTGAGTATTATAATATGTATATGCAGATTTTATATTATTATTTATTGTTAACATAACACAAATACATTTTTAGATACACACAAAATTGGCGCCTTAACGTCGAGTTGCAGGGGGTCTACTCTCGATCTCCGTCCGACATTTGTCCGAAACAATTACTGCCAAATAAGCAATACTTGACCAAATGAAAAGACGCGTGTTGCGAATGAAGCTTCATACTGGTGGATACTTGTGTTTTAATTTTGTCGAATATTACTTATTTGACAGTAATTGTTTCGGACGGAGATCGAGAGTAGACCCTCAGACACCAAGTACATTTTTAGTTGTAATTGAATTTGACAAGAGTGACTCACACCTATCAGCCTCATAATGATAATACGATGTCTGTTTTGTGTGTTTTAATTTTGTCGAATATTACTTATTTGACAGTAATTGTTTCGGACGGAGTTCGAGAGTAGACCCTCAGACACCAAGTACATTTTTAGTTGTAATTGAATTTGACAAGAGTGACTCACACCTATCAGCCTCATAATGATAATACGATGTCTGTTTTGTGAAAACACACAGTTAAATAAAATATTGTTTTCTTGTAGGTACAGCATTAAACAAGATGAAGTGTGTGTGCGTACTGCTGACGCTGGTGGCGGCTGCGCAGGCCGTCTCCTTCTTCGATCTCGTACGCGAGGAATGGCAGGCTTTCAAAGTGAGAAACAATTACTATC